TGTTTTCCTGGAGAATGAATACTACTTCAATGTATATAGCAATAATTGTTAATCTGTGCCCATATTTAGCAGCCCTGGTAGCAAAGTGGGTTTTGAGTCGGGCTGTTTACTGCAAGGCTAGCAGTTCAAATCCAACAATTGCACTAAGGGAGAAAGATGAGCCTTTCTGCTCCTGCATAAATTTACCGCTCCAGATAACCTATATAGGGTTACTTTGAGTCAGAACCAACTCAATGGCACACAGCCACCATCACCACCACTACACATCTCATACAAATTCAAAATTATTGTACATATTTGAAAGGGTTAAGTATGCCAACAATCAATGAACTAATTCATTTTAAAAACAAAACAAACCAAAATCCATAGCCACAGAGCAATACCGACTCATAGCGAGCCTATATGGCAGAATAGAACCTCCTCATAGGGTTTCCAAGTAAGCAAATTGCCACGTTTTTCTCGTACAGAATAGATATTGGGTCTCTGACCTTTCATTCAGTTAGCAGCTGAGCCCTTACCCCAGGATTTTAAATGCAGTCTAAATAGCAGAATTGGAAAATAGGAATATAGGGTAAACACCATTCCTTTTTCATGGTTTAAGAATGCTGTGATAAAAGAAATAACAAATTGGAGATCTCTATTTTGCTTATTTTGTTTTTTTATTGTAAAATGAACTACTTAACCATTGTTTAAATGATAGTATTTGTGTTTTAGAGCAGGTAAAATCATGTGGCCCACCTCCTCAACTGATCAATGGGGAAGTTAAAGAGGCAAAGAAAGAAGAATATAAGCATAAAGAAGTGGTGGAATATGATTGCAATCCCAAATTCCTATTGAAGGGGTCTAAGAAAATCCAATGTGTTGATGGAGAATGGACAACTTTGCCTATATGTGTTGGTAATATACATAAAATCAGAAAATTTGTTTATATTCATATAAAAACAAGTTATGTTATAAAGATAAACTTATTTTTGTGAAATTTCGTAGAGGAAGAGAGTACATGTGGCGATATCCCTACACTTGAACATGGCTATAGTTTGCCCTCTGAACCTCCCTATCACCATGGAACTGTAGTGGAGTTCAGTTGCGAAGATTCATTTACGATGAATGGATACAAATTTATTAGATGTGTTCTTGGAGTTTGGACCGAACTTCCTCAGTGCATTGGTGAGAATATACTTCTCTAATTAACATTTAACTAGGTTTAATATATTTACTGTAAAAATGTATTTAGAAGTATTGTTGAAAATCTCAGGCTTTAAGTTATAATGAATCTAATCATTTGTTCTCTATAGCACTGCATATGCTTACAGGGTAAAAATATAAACTAGGAGCAATATATTCTTGCATTCCTGATATTAATATAGTTTATTTCTATGAATGTGAAGCTAAATGTTACTTATAGATTGCAATATTATATAATATTAAATAAAAGAAAAAAGTGTCAGGCAAACTAGAACTGTTTTGCATAAATATCATTGTTGTTATTATACAACTCACTTCTTCACTTCATGGAAAATGAAGACATAAAGTTGAGAAAATGCCCATTTTGCTTCTCTCATCTCGCTCAAAACTCTCAATGTTCATTATTCAGACTATTTCAAATACAGCAGGAAACAGTAAATGTGCTGCCGAGTGTGTGGCCATAGACTATCTCAATCAGAGTATAAATAATTTAGTGTCCTCAGGCAGTAGTGGGTGGATCAGGAAACAAATCTGATTGATTGACTTCTATCTGTAGGTGATTCATCCTGCTTCCTGATGGCTAGGTCTAAATGGCAGGAGGGGGCCCTAATTCATATGTCCTTTAAATGGGTGTTATGTAAACTCTGTTTGAATCCTTCATTCAAAGATTTCTGGATATCCACTATTAGTTAATCATTAGATTTCTGTATGTTAATTAATACCAGGCAATGGTGAAGCTGAGACTCAAATTCCATAGAAGTAGGAATTTGTACCTGTTTTGTTAACTGCTGTATTCACAACATCCAAAAGATCCACTGACATATAGGAGACATTCAATTAAGAGTTTGTAAAATGAATCAGTAAACTGTTGCTGATTAATCCTTACATTTTTTATGTAACATATTCTTGATCATGGCATGGCCAATTCTTTCTGATACAACCTCACATTTGTCCTCTCTAATCTCACCATCTTGGGAGAGAACAAGTGGGGGAAGGATCAGAATAGCCACTAAAGCCTGACAGAACTGAGGAGATACAGGTATGGACATTCTTTTTTTTTTTTTTTTCATATCTGTCCATTGTTCATTGGTCTCTCACTGACTGCGCACCTCCATTCTGATAACTAGAGGAGATAACTGAGCAAATGGATACCCCACCGCCACCCCTGGAGAGTTCTACTATGCATGTGCATAAATCTTGAAATTTAAAGCAACAGTTTCTACATAAATCCAAATGGCCACCACGCGTCTGTCTGTCGTACTGTGGTGGCTTGTGAGTAACTATGATTCTGAAGGCTATGCCACCAGTATTTTAAATAACCAGCAGGGCCATCCATGGTGGACAGGTTTCAGATGTGCTTCCCGGCAAAGAAAGACTAAGAAGAGTGAGTGACTAACTGCTTCCAAATCTATAGTCACTGAAAACCTTATAAACAGCAGAGAAACACTGTCAGATACACTGCTGGAAAATAAGTCCCTCAGGTTGGAAGGCGCTCAAAATGCGACTGGGGAAGAGATGCCTCCTCAAAGTAGAGTTGACCATGATGACACGAATGGAGTTAAGTTCATGGGAGAAAAGCCCACAGAAACTTCATTTGCTGATGGGGCACAACTCAAAATGAAGAGAAAGAGCTGTAAACATCCACTGAAAATTGGAACAAGGAAAGAAATATGAAACTGGGAAAACTGGAAGTTGCCAAAAATGAAATGGAATGCATAAACATCGATGTCTTAGGCAATAGTGAGCTGAAATGGACTGGTATTGGCCATTTTGAATCTGACAACCACATGGTTTACTATGTTCCAAATGACAAATTGGAAAGGAATGGTGTTTCATTCATTGTCAAAAAGAACATATCCAGATCAGTCATGAGGTACAATGCTGTATGTGATAGGACAATATCCATGAACCTTCAGGGAAGCCCAGTTAATACCACTGTTATTCAAATTTATGCACCTACCACTAAAGCTAGTGAGAATGAAATAGAATTCTACCAACTTCTTCAATCTGAAATTGATCAAACATGTAATCAAGATGTATTGCTCATTACTGGTGATTGGAATGCAAATGTTGGGAGCAAAGAGGAAAGACCAGTAGTAGGAAAATATGGCCTTGGTGATAGAAATGATGCTAGAGAATGCATGATAGAATTCTGTAAAACTAATGATTTGTTCATTTCAAATACCTTATTTAGAAAGCGTAACAGACGACTATACACATGGACCTCACCAGATGGAATCCACAGAAACCAAATTGACTACATGTGTGGAAAGAGAAGATGGAAAAGCTCCATATCATCATCAGTCAAAGCAAGGCCAGTGGCAGACTGTGGAACAGACTATCAATTGCTCATAAGCAAATTCAAACTGAAGCTGAAGAAAATGAAAACAAGTCCAAGAGAGCCAAAATATGACCTTGAATATATCTAACCTGAACTTAGAGGTCATCTGAAGAACAGATTTGATACATTAAACACAAAAGACCGAAGACCAAAAGACTTGTGGACTGACATCAAGAACATCATACGTGAAGAAAGCAAAAAGTCATTAAGAAAACAAGAAAGAAGGAAAAAGTCAAAATTGATGTCAGAAGAGACTCTGAAACTTGCTCTCCAGCATTGAGATGCTAAAACAAATGAAAAAAATGAGGAGGTCTAAGAGCTGAACAGAAAATTTCATAGATCAGCTCGAGAAGATAAAGACAAAGTTATAATAAAATGTGCAAAGATCTGGAAACAGAAAACCAAAAAGGAAGAACATGCTTAGCATTTCTCAAGCTGGGGGAACTGAAGAAAAAATTCAAGGCTCGACTTTCATTACTGAAAGATTCTCTGAGCAAATTATCGAATGATACAGAAAGCATCAAGAGAAGATCAAAGGAATACACAGAGTCACTGTACCAAAAGGTAATGTTTGATGTTCTCCTTCAGAGGTAGCCAATGATACTGAAGGAGGAAGTCCAAGGTACATTGAAGGAATTGGCAAAGAACAAGGCACTAGGAATTGATGGAATACAAATTGAAATCTTTCAAGAAAGTGAGGCAGCACTGGAGGCACTCACTCATCTCTGCCAAGAAATTTGGAAGACAACTATATGGCCTACTGATTGGAAGAGTTCCCATTTGGAATTGTGCCCATTCGAAAAAGAGGTGACCCAACGGAATACGGAAATCATCGGACAATCTTTTTGATGTCTCAAGCGAGGAAAGTTTTACTAAAGGTAATACAGAAGTGGCTACAATCATACATTGACAGAGAATTTCCAGAGTTTCAAGCCAGATTCAGAAGAGGCTGTGGAACGAGGGGTATCATTGCTGATGTCTGATGGATCTTGGCTGAAAGCAGAGAATATCAGAAAGATGTTTCCCTGTGCTTTATTGATATGCAAAGGCTTTCGATTGTATGGATCATGACAAACTATGGGAAACATTGCGAAGTATGAGTATTCAGGAACACTTAATTGTACTCATGAGGAATCTGTACCTGGACCAAGAGGCAGTTGTTCTAACAGAATATGGGAACACTGAATGTTTTAAAATTAAGAAAGGTGTGCGACAAGATTGTATTATTTCACCATACTTATTCAACCTGTATGCTGAGCAAATAATACAAGAAGCTGTGTTCTATGTAGAAAAACTTGTCATCAGGGTTGGAGGAAAACTCATTAACAACTTGCAATATGCAGATGATACAACCTTGTTTGCTAAAAGTGAAGAGGACTTATAATATTTACTGATGAAGATCAAAGAGCAGAGCCCTCAGTATGGATTGCATCTTAATGTCAGGAAAACAAAAATCCTCCCCACTAGACCAATAAACAGCATTCTTATCAACAGAGAAAAGATTGAAGTTGTCAAGGACTTCATTCTTTTTGGATCAACAATCAGCACTCATGGAAGCAGCAATCAAGAGATCAGATGATGTATTGCATTAGGTAAATCTGCTTCACAAGAACTTTTTAAAGTGTTGAAGAGCAAAGATGTCAGCTTGAGGACTAAGGTGAGCCTGACCCAAGCCATGGTATTTTCAGTAACCTCATATGCATGTGAAAGCTGGACAGAGAATAAGGAAGACCGTAGAAGAACTGATGCCTTTGAATTATGGTGTTGTATGAGAATACTAAAAGTGCATGGGCTGCCAAAAGAACCAATAGATCTGTTTTGGAGGAAGTGCAGCCAGAGTGCTCCTTAGAGACCAAGATGGCCAAACTTCATCCCTCATACTTTGGACATATTGTCTGGAGAGAACAGTCGCTGGAGAAGGATATCATGTTTGATAAGATGTAGGGTCAGAGAAAAACAGGAAGACCCCAATGAGATGGATTGACCAGGTGGCAGCATGGATGGAATCAAGTGTGGCAACAGTAGTGAGGTTGGCCCAGGATCGAACATTTTTTCGTTCTGCTGTGCATAAGGTCTCTCTGAGTCCGTGCCGACTGAATGGCACCTAACAACAACAATTTCTATAAGGAACTCTGGTAGCGTAGTGGTTATGAGTCAGACTGCCAACCTCAAGGTCAGCAGTTCAAAACTACCAACAGTTCCTCGGGAGAAAGATGAGGCCTTCTGCTCCCATAAAGATTTACAGCCTCGCAAACTCTGTACAGGGTTGCTATGAGTCGTTACTGAGTCTACGGTACTTAACAACAGCAATCTCAATAAATGATTTCACCTCTTTCCACATGGATGGAAACTCAAGATAGTATCAGGCATGAGAACTTACAGCTTTTAATTCTAACCTATATCAAAAGCTCAGCTTCAATTATTATTTCCTTTTGGACGCAGAATTCTCCACAGATATTTGGATACTGTAGACCTTTAAAAGTATAAAAATAAATGTGTTGCCTTTGAGTCAACTTTAAGTTAATTATGAGACAGAGCATAAGTGCCCCAGAGGGTGTCCAAGGCAGAGTGTCATGTTTTTCTTCCAGGGATCAACTAGAAAGCTGGGTCAGTTGGTGGGTTTGAACTGCTAACCTTTGGATTAGCAGCCACATTCTTACTCCACAATAGTGTATTTTGATCTCTTTCTATTCTGGAATCTTCACTCTTACAGACATGTTTATTTTTCATCTAATAAAACAATCCACTCACAAAACCATCTGTCACATGACATATCAATTACAGTACTTCTTGACATAGACCTCCTTGCAATTACTCTCCATCAAAGACTATCTTGCTTTGTCTCCAGTAATACTTTAGACCCTATGATAGGTTAATTTTTCCTAAAAAAGGGAAGAATTTTCCCTTAAAGTCTCTGATATATTTTAAACCAGCCTCCTTTCTTTCTTTCCAAGTTATATTACAAATCTTTACTTTTCTTTGCCTAGTTACTTGACATTTTTAAATTCTGTTCCATCTCAATAAACTTTGCTTTTTATAATAATTAACAACAAATACTATCAAAGACATACATGTTATCAAATACAAAAAAGACTCCCATAATCTTAGAATTATTGAAATATGCAGCTATATAAGCATGATCTATATATTAACTCATTTAGATGAGCAAATATTTATTATTATGAAATTATAATGCAGTTTGATTTCCAGATATTCTGAAATAGCATCTCAAGATAATTAATTTTTTTATGCTTTTATTGTGAATTGGGTGATAATTTACATGGCAGAACATCAGCTTTACATTCATCCTATAGTATTTTGTTTTATTGCAATGACTACAATCCCCTCGATGCATCATCTTTCAACAACATTTGTTTCTATTCCCTCAGTTTTTTTTTGGGGGGGGGGAATGTATAAGCACTTGGGAATATACAACCATTCAAACAACCAAAGGGCACACCCCACTGGCCCACTCCCTGGCCGTCAGTACACAGCGCCTTTACATCCCTGAGTTCAGAGTCCCCAACCGTTTCATCTCTTCACGACATTTTCTCTGCCTCCATCTCTGGTGTCACTTCTTCTCTAGATAGGTTCCTACACTCCACACTTGTCCTTTGATGGTCCCAGGGTCTTCTGCTCCTAGACTGCAAGAGCAACCACTCCCCTCCTTTAGTTACAAAGTTTCTACCTTTATATTTGCAACACTCACAATCAGTCCTAATAGCAATTATTCAGTATTGAACCATAAGAGTCTTATCCCTATCTTCTTTCACCAGCCCTATCCAGACAGGTTGGAAACCACTCAGTGGAGATTCTACCTTCCCCCTCACCCTTGGAAACTAGCTCCCATCTTGAAAGCTTGTAAGCCAGTCAACTTCGTTCCTGTGTAGTGCTCTCAGTTTGGATAGCCAATGTCTAAGTTGCCCATCTTTGTCAACTCTGTGTACTGAGGGGTTGGGAATGATCCTCACTGTAAGGATTTGTTCCCTCTTTTGAGCTACTACATCTGTAAGTATAAAATGGTGTAGATGATTCAAAAAAAGGCACCTCTTAGACTCTTCCAATTGCAAAAGTGTAAAACATATTTATGACAGATATTTACTCTCATATTTCCAAAGATGAATGCAAAAGTTGTTTATGCATTATAGCTTATCTCAGGCAGTATTATTAAGAATAACTTGATTGAATTTATAATCATAAATCCTTATTTCATTATATCATTGATTCTGTAGCTTTTGTTACATAGCAGTAGCTTAGATTCTTTATAATCAGTCATTTTCATGGGAATATTCTCATTTTACAGTGACAGAACAACTTAAGAAGTGTATATTACCAAGGTTACGTAAAATTGAATCAGTCTCACCACCAGATCAGATTGTATTCAATCATACTGATATCTTCATTTATAAATGTAAAGGAAAATCTGAAACCAGACAATCAACCTGCAAAAATGGAATGTGGGATCCCACGCTAACTTGTGAAGGTAAAGTCTTGTTTACGATGTTTTTAAAACTGTGTGCTTTTCTTCCTAACTTTTAAAAGCAGTATTGTTATGTCTTTTAAAAAATTGTAGAGAGGTATTATTACAAATGCTTAGATTTGTACAAGCTACAAGGTATTTCAAAACCCAGTGGAAACACTGTTACTAAATAATAATTATATCGTCTGTATTTGTTGGGTATATAAAAATCACACAGAAATTCGGTGGATTTACTTTAACATCTGGGCGCAAAGTGTGTTCATTACATTTGGATTTCCATTGCTTCATTTGTTTAATTACACACAACCAACCTATACATATGCTTATTATCTTTATCATGTATTTATCTGTTTTTCTATCTCTGTCTTAAAAACCCTGTGACATCTTGGCACCTCTACTTTCAAACGTATAGCAGAGTTCATTCCATTTTACAGAGTTTCTTTTCTTTAATTTTCATCTCCAACTATGATAATCCATGTGCTGTTAACATTAACACTCTTATCAATATATACAGTTCTAGCATATACAGATAGTAATTTTATATAACAGTCCTACAGCAAATCTAATATCTGCAGACCAACATGTTAACACTTCTTCATATTTAAGGTAGTAATATTCATATGCCATTCTGCAGGAGAAAGATGAGGCTTTCTGCTCCCATAAAGATTTGCAGCCTCAAAAACACTGTGCAGGGTCAATATGAGTCAGAATCGACTCCACGGTATGTAGAACAAACAACAATATTTATATGCAGTGAAGTTCATTTGTTCTTCTGCATTGTATCCCAGAAGCTTTGTAGTTTTAATATTTACATTTAGATACATCATGTATCTTACTTTGCTTTTTGATGAAGTGTTAAGTAGGGATTGGCGCTTTCTTTTTTACGCAGATAGCTAGTTCTCAAAGCATGTCTGGAAAAAAAACCTTTGAAATAAACAGCAATTGATTATTTCTAGACTCTTTTTCAGCTCAGTTCCTTATGCCCAAATTGCCTTGATAGCTTCATAGTAAGTTGTGAAGCCTGGTATTTATTCTCAGATATGGTTTTCCTTTTCAAGACTGATAAAAGATTGGTAGTACAGTGGATAAGAACTTGGCTGCTAATAAAAAGTTTTGCAGATTGAACCCACCAGCCACTCTGCAGAAGAAAGGTATGACAGTCTGCTTCCATAAAAATGTACAGTCTTGGAAATCCGGTGGGGTAGTTAGTTCTGCCCTGTCCTATAAGGTAGTTATCGTCTGGAATTGTCTCAGCAGCACAAGATTTTAGTTTCAAGACTGATTTAGTTATTCTGGCATTTGCATTTCAATACTAATAACAGTACATCAATTTCTAGAAAATATCCTAGGAAATGAAAGAGGTAGTTAGACAATGAAAGAGATGATATCAAATGTATAGAAAAATTAGGAGAATTAACTTCGTAACCATATTGGGTTTCCAATCCATGGACATGATATATGTCTCTATTTATATCTGCTTCATTATTCTCAGTAATGGTTTTAGTGTAGAAGTTGTATTGTTGTTGTTTTTAAGTGCCATAGAGTTGGTTCATATTCATAGCGACCCTTTGTAGGGTTTCCAAGGAGTGGCTGGTGACTTTGAAATGCCTACCTTGTGGTTCAAACTGAACTTGAGGTCAAGTGCTTATCCTATGAAGCCACACCAGGTGTATAGCAGTTGCAAAAATAATTACACATCATTTACATTTTTGTTATTTAAATGTTATTTTAAAATAAAATGTTCAATTTTTGAGTACAAGTATAAAGGGATGCATTTGATTTTGTGTATTAATTTGTACTCTGAAGGAATGCTAAGCTACATAACTTATTTCAGTTATTACTTTGTAGATCTCTTTGAACTCTCGGTAAACAACTATATCATTGAAAATTAAAAGTTTATTCCTGTCTGTACCATTTATAGATTTTTGCTAATTTCCTTAACTTCTAACATTGTCTAGGACATCAATGTTGAAAGGAAGTGTTGAGGGGCAACATTCTTGATCTTTTCCTGTCCATTGAATATTTAGCTACAATTATGATACTAGCTTTCCAAAAACAAAACAAGCCAAATCCACTGCCCAACATTGAGCTGGTTCCAACTAACAGTGACCCTACAAGACAAAGTAGAACTGCCCCACAGGATTCCCAAGATTGGATAGTTTCATGGAAATTGACTGCTTTATCTTTCTTCCATGGAGTGAGAACCCCTGACTTTTGGGTTAGCAAGCAAGCACTTAACCACTGCACCACCAGGACTCTTTTAATCAGTCTTTTCAAAGAAACTCAAATTTAGAGAGCATCTACTGGGCTTCACAATTTATTGTGAAGCTACAGTTTTTAAGGTAATGATTTGGGCAGAAAAGTAGATAAATAAATGAACTGAATGCTGTTATTGTTAACTACCACTGAGTTGCTTCTGACCCATAGTGACACTATGTAGAGTTTCCAAGGAGCAACTGGTAAACTGCTTACCTTGTGCTTTAAGCAGACTTTGCAGTAAGGTGCACTAACCCTCAGCACAGAGTCCCAAAATATACCAGCACTGTTATATTCAATTACTTTTCATTTAAAAAAATTTCCACATATATTTTTAGTACAACTGGCTGTCCATATTATAAAAGGTCACCATCACTACTTGACACTTCACTCAAAAATGATGTTGTTAAGTGCCATGAAGTGGGTTCCAAATCATAGCGACCCTACATGGTTTCCAAGGAACGACTGGTGGGTTTGAACAACCTTGTAATTACCAGTCCAGTGCTTATCCTACAGCACCACACTAAGATATGTAGTTGTTGTTAAATGCCGTTGAGTTGGTACTGACTCATAGAGACCTTGTATAGGGTTTCTGAGGAGCAGATGTTGGATTTGAACCACCAAACTTGCAGTCCAAACTGACTTTGTGATCCATCGCATTGTCCTGCAGCGCCACACCATGACTCCTATTAACCAATGTTATTGTTATTGTTGTTAAATGCCATTGAGTTGGTTCTGACCCATAGAGACCCTGTATAGGGTTACTGAGAAGCATCTCTTGAGCTTGAACTGTCAACCTTGTGGTTCAAATAGACTTTTCAGAGAGATGCAACTCAAAACAATGAAATATTGTGGTGTTAGGGGAGAATATTGAAACACTACAGACTCGACAAGAATGAACAGATCTATTTTGGAAGAAATACATTTGAGTTGTGGTATTAGGGAAGAGTATTGAACATACCACAGACTGCCAGAAAAAATAACAAATCTATTTTGTGAGAAATACAGGAAGAACTCTTCTTAGAAGCAATAGTGGCTTTGTCTTGCTTATTTGGACATGTTATCTAGAGAAACCAGTCCATGAGAAGGACATCATGCTTGGTAATATAATGGTTAGAAAAAAGGAGGATGACCCTCAACAGTATGGATTGCCATAGGGACTGCAGCAATGGACTCAAATATAGGAAAGAAAGTGAGGATGGCACAAAACCAGACAGCTTTTCCTTTTGTTGTTCACAGGGTCCTGTGTGTCATTACTGATTTGATGGCACATAATATCAATGGTTAGAATATCAATGGTTATAAGAGGTTTCTCATAAATTATCCTAGATTGATCACATAATCAAAGAAAGAAACTAGAAGGAAAACTATAAGAATATAAATCAAAAGTGACAATATTTAGGTGTTATAAAGCTATGAATTACTACTTGTGTAAATAACCAAAATAATAATTAATATATTATCATTCATGATACTTGATACTGAATATTCTCTATATTAAAATTATCCTTTTATATTTAATTTATGCTTTTTAAACTAAACAATCTGACTTGAATATTTTTAGGACAAATGAAACAGTTATGCCCACCTCCTCCTCTCATTCCCAATACTCGAAATATGACGGTGACAGTGAATTATAAGGATGGAGAGAAAATATCTATTCTCTGTCAAGAAAATTACATAATTCAAGAAGCAGATGAAATCATGTGCAGTGGTGGGAAATGGCAGTCAGTACCACGCTGTGTTGGTTAGTACTTCATATCTTGAACATTCTTTCAGAATGAAGTTAATACTCTACTGTGCTTTGCATACATCTGTTACTCTCTATAGAAAACAGTAATTGCAATCTGTGTGCCCAAATTAATCAACATTCATTCACTTATACTGTGAAATAAAGACAGAATACTCAGGAATATTATTGAAATATCAGATAAAATTTTGTTATTATTTTATTATCATGATGAAAAGGATAAAAATTATAGGGGGTATTTAATAAGAGAATAGTACCGTAGATATCATTTTGATATGTAGCCTTCTAGGTTTTTGATATTTGTTCAGATTATAAATTATATTACTTATTTAAATGGACTTTATTTTGTAAGTCCAAGTAGTATTTGATTTGATTTTTCATTTTAGACATTATATTTATGCTCTGTTTTGATCTGTTATTCATGTAGAAAAAATTGCATGTCCTCCACCACCTCAAATTGAATATGGAACAATTAACTCATCTAGATCTTCAGAAGAAAGGGAAGAAACATCTGAACATAGGTACTCACATGGTACTACATTAACTTACATCTGTGAAGATGGCTTCAAGCTCTCTGAAGAAAATGGGGTAACATGTCACATGGGAAAATGGAGCTCTCCGCCTCATTGTGTAGGTGAGGCATATGACAAGTACAAATCTATTTTCATAATAATTGATTAAAAATTATCAGTTCCCATCAAAGGCAAAAGACAATATAGTTTAGATATATTTATGGGATTGTTTACGTACATTATAATTAAAATTTTATGCATGAGTAAATAATCTTATTTTTGTTAAATTCATTGGTTCATTATTGAGTCACTTTAAACTCTGGCATTTATTTTACCTTGAAAGATGATGTGTAGTATAATTGAATCTACCTATTTATAGTGTAGTAGTACTGGTGTGGCCCTGATGGTTAATGCACTGGACTGCAAAGTCAATTAGAACCACAAGGTTCAAGCTCACCAGCCACTCCTTGGAAACCCTATAGAGGGTCACTATGAGTCGAAACTGACTCGGTGGCACTTAGCAACATTTATAGGGTAAGAAGCCTTGGATTATAGTGGAGTGTGAGTTGGCCTGCTAACCACAAAGTCAGAAGTTCAAATTCACCAGCCACTGTGCGGGAGAATGATAAGACTTTCTGCTCCTGTGTGAGTCAGAACTGATTCGGTGGCATACAACCAACCACCACCACCACCATTTACAGAGTCATCATGAGTGAGAATTGACTTGATGGCAGCTGGTTTGGTTTGGATTTGTCATTTATTTAGACGTTATAGCATTTGCTCTGCCATCCAGCATGGTTACATTTAAAAAAATTGGTATTTTTCCTAAAGTGTTTCTTCTGATTAGTTACAGCATAAAGGTATGTCTTCTTAAGGATAGTTCCTCTTCAATGCTATTCCCTTTAACGCTAGTGATTGGTAAAAAATCATTGGCTATATTCATAAGTGTTCTCTAAGATTTTAATTTCAAATTATTTATTAGGTTGTGAAAGACAGTAGAATGGTGGATTTAGAAAATGTTTGTATACCTTCTTTGTGGTGTGGTAGTAGCTTCTGTGTTTTCATTTCTTTTCAAATTAAATGACTACATAGTACATATTATTAAGTTTCAGATGAAGTGAAACATGAATGCATTATTTCATTGTTTGTCTGTTTTTTTAAAGGACTACCTTGTAAGCCACCACCTATGATTTCTGATAGTATTCTGTCTCATGAGTTAGAAAGCTACCAACATGGAGAAAAGTTTACCTACACCTGTATTGATGGTTTTGGGATTGATGGACCAGAATATATAAAGTGTATAGGAGGAAAATGGCCTACCCCACCAAAATGCATCAGTATGTATCTTGAATGTTTTTAATTTAAAGTATATTCTATGTCATTTTATGAATGATGTTGTTGTAGTTAAGTGCCATTGAGTATGTACTGACCCATAGCGACCTTATGCACAGCCAAAGGAAACACTGCCGAGTCCTGAGCTGACCTCATTATCATTGCCACTGTGAGTCCATTGATACTGCCACTTGGCCAATCCATCTCGATGGGGTTCTTCCTCTTATTCTCTGACTGTCTGCATTACCAAATGTGATATCCTTCTCTAGTGACTTGTCCCTCCTGACAACATGTCCAAAGTATGAGAGAAGAAGTTTGGCCATCTTGGCTTCC